ATCTCACTCTCCACACCTATAAAGTATGTCTGAAGAGATGTTCAAGAAAGCGCGCTATAATATATCACTATCTTGGATATCTTTGAAGATGACCATCCATTTCTTTTCAGTGAAACCCCTACTCCATTCTCAAGAAAGAAAATCCTTCAAGGGTGAAAACCCTTATAGAAACACTCGACCAAGTGACTTCTCAACGTGTTTGAAGTAATTAAGGATCCAAACTAACAATAGTGGTGTGCACCCTATGAAGCGTACTTCTCATTCTCGTCTGCAGGAATTTAAGGAACGAAATGTCTCTTCCAAAATAGCCAGAAAAAGATCCACATGTCTATCCAATCTCTCGAACAAATCAACCACTAACACATCAACATGTCCCAAGACCTTCGAAAATATGACTAGCCCATAAATACCTAGAGCAAACAGGTCAATATTTTTTCTCTTGTCAGGATGACGATTAATTACTTCTCTAAGAGCAGTCCAGGTAATGCATTCACTATCTCATTTCTTCTTGATGCTTCTTACGACCCATTCTTAACTCATCATAGTCATCAAAATTAGCTTCTTTTTGAAATAATGAGTGTTTTGTTGGCTTGGTGTACACCATGTCTACTTGGGATCTTGGACAATGAATCAAGGCATGATATTCCTCTATGGTAGGTGTTAGATCCACTCGGCCAAAAGTAAAGCAATCGTAGGCGGGATTCCAGAACTTCGCAAGAGCTCTAAATAAATTTTGATCAATTGGAACATCTAGGAGATAAGAGATATCACCATAGAGTTGATAAAACAACTACTTATCGATTGTTTCCCATTTTTCCCATATATCATTTTGCTCAATCAAGTCATTTTGATGGACACTGATGTGGGTGTACCTAATCAGATCTATCACGTATCCAGGCCGTAAGTTATCTCCATTTGTAAGCTGAGACTGCTCGGACCATCTCAGAACATCTGCATTGTCTTCTACCTCTTTTTGAATCCTTTGTTCCATATTACTAGCCTTCTATATGGACATCGATCACGGATCAACGCCATGGAATTATTAGTACAATGCAAAAATATAGACAAAATAAAATAAAAAAAGCAAAAGAAAATTAGTCAGTAATCATAAAGAAATTAATCGGACATAATATAGTTTCTCAATAAAGCTTACCCTCACATGCTGTCTACCCAATCATGCTTTAGCAGATCCTACCCAAACATGATTTCTACCCCCATGCTTTGTTTAGCATAAAAATCCTAACATGATACCATTTAGTTCGCATGCTTATTCGAAAAAAATATAAACCTAATCACATGATCTCTAGTCTTATGCATTTATTTAGAGAACAAAATTATACTACAAAAATTAAAAGACTCAAAAAAGTTTTTCCTTCTGTATTCTCCTCAAGGGATTCTTAAGGTTTAGGTTAGGCTCTACAAAGCTTCGGGTTCTAGGTTCACTATATGTTGGGTTCAACTTTAAAGCAAAAGGTTCTCGAATTATCCTTGTCGGTGCTCACTTGGGCTACAGACCCTCAATCATGGCCCATTATAGGCTTTCAAATCGAGTTCAACTCGAGGGGACACGCCTCCTTATGTCTATACGGAGGTGAAAAGCATCACGAGGGCCATAAAGTGTGAGCCCCAAGAGCGATCCACTATCCCATACGGAGGTGAAAACCACACGAGGGAGTAGTTTCTCACTCCAAACTTAAATAGGATGGAGCGGGGTTTTAGCTCATGTTATGATAATGCAAGTGCACAATGTGTCAGGAAAAGCGAAAAAACACACAATCACACAACACACCAAACTTATTCCCCAATTATATTTAAGACACATTTATTCTAAAAACATTAGTAAACAAACGGGTACAACTATTTAGTGGTTAATCAAATTATAAACATAAAATTTATTTAAACATAGCAAGGGCTCAAAAACTAAATTAGAACGAACTTGTAATTTTTATTGCAAAGATAATTAATTGACTAATAGCTTGAATCTCTAAAAAATAGTCCCCAGTGGAGTCGCCAAGCTGTCGAAATGATTTTTTGAAAAACAAATTTAATTTTTAAGTGATTTAAAAAAAATCTCGTCTCGATTAATTTGGTGTTTCCTTTTAAAAATCAAAATAAAACATGGTTTGAGGAGTCGTCACCAATTTTTAATTAGGGTGTGATTGGGCACCCAAAAATATATTATAAAAATATTAATTTTAATTTTAATTAAAACAACAAATTTATGGTTTGTGTTACCAAAAATTTGAGTTCGGGAGTCGATTACGCGTGGAGGAAGGAATAGCACCCCTACAACGCCCTAAATTGGTATCTAGTCGATTAATTAGTTGTCTTTGCAATGAAATTTATGAATTCGAGTTTAATTTATTTAAAGAACCGTACAAATAATATCCTTTGAATTTAGGACGAAACATAATAATATTTAATTATTTCCTATCAAGAAAAAACAACCTCTCTTGCCTTAAAGCAAACATTTCTTACTCCAGTCAAAATAAAGAAATATTACTATTTCTTCTAAAATTCATTATTATTTCGAATGCATAAATGATGATAAAAATAAAAATTAAATATGAATTATAATTTATAAATCCTTTTAGAAAGAAGAAGGATATTCAATTATTTAAAGACGTTGAGATCAGATCTTTTATAAGTTCTAACGATATTTTCTCAAAGAATTTAAATTGACAAACATTTTTTTTTCTCTCATTCCCAAATTTTAACTGTAGTAAATTTTTAAGGTTTCACTTAATGAGATACAATTTCATTTTAAAATGATCGAAAACAACGTTCTTATATGTTAAGACAGTCACTTCACAATAATCCTAAAATGAACGAATATTACTCTTAGTCAAATTATTTCGATTTGAGTCAATTAATGTTTATGAGGTTTTATATATTTTTCATGCAATTTAATTAAAGGATGCCACACAAATAAATAAAAGGACCTAGATCTATATGTTCAAGTGATCATTTGCACATGTATAATATTTTGAAACATACTTTAAGTAATGCATTAATATTTTATCCTTATCTATTAAAATTAATGTACCTATATAATAAGTGAAATGGAACCATGGCCATTATATATATATATATATATATATATATTAGCAATATAAACCTCAACGTATATAACATGCATAATATAATACACACACATATATAAATGTTATAAAGTATGAGAAATGATGGTAAACATCAAGTACACGCATACACATAATGGTATTATAAATAAAATTATATACACATTAATATAAACGATGTGTACCATGCTAGAAGGAAAGTCAACAAGAATCTAAAATGAAATAATGTGGATATTGCATGCTTGAATATAAATAATAGTAAGTTGAACAAAAATACTAAAAATGGCTAAAAGATAAACAACGAAAAATTTAGTGGCAAAATGGAAACCGTAGCAAAGAACAAGGACTGAAAGGATAAATTACACCAAATATAAGTACTAATATAAGAATCAGGCAACAAGCGAGACTAAAATAAAAGCATTTAAAATTACAAGCTGAAAATTAAAATAAGAAAAAACCAATAACTTAAGTTGACTGAACTATAACAAGCGTAAAATAAAAGGACAAATTTTGAAACACTAAAAAAAATTCTCAAAACGATGACTAAATTGCACTAATTTAAACCTTAGAGCATTACAACCCAAAATTTTCAATGACTAAAACGAAACCTTACAAACTTTGGAAACCTCCCCGCATAAACATATAATGTGTGAATTTCAGGAAAGGCCTAGAACGCTAAAACGACGTATTTGGGGGTATAAATACTTCTTTTTTACCCTCCTCGACTGAAACCCTTTCTCATTTATTTTCCAACCGTTCTCTCCTCTCTCTCAACTTTCTTTTTTTTTTTTTTTTTTCTTGCAAAAAAAAAAACCTCCGGTCACCACCCAAACAGCCCCGACAAGGGGCCGACGACTCCCTAAACACCCAAAACTAAACCCTCAAACCTAAAACTCCCCAAATCGAACCCAAAAAAAATAAAAAAAAAGTAACTACCTTCGATGTTTGACAAAACACTTCGTCACCTACAAAGTAAAGACCGAGGTAAACTATCTCCTTTTCCTCTTTTTTGTTTCGTTTCTTTTTCATTCTATTTTTTTCTTTCTTTTCTTCTTCTTTTTTTCTCTGAACCGCCCCCTCTTTTTCCTGTTGCTACCTGATATATTTCTTCCCTTTTGAATGTTTGGTGATGGCTATAGCCTAGGAATGATGATTGCTCTAACCCAACCATTTATGTCCAGTTTTTTCGGGATTTTTATTATTTCTTTAATGGGTTTTTTGATTTTTTTTTCTGATTTGGTTGTTATTGTTTGCCTGAGATTATGGTGATGAAGTGGTTGAACGGCAGCGGCCGGATGATGGGAATGGGTGGCCGAAACAGTGGCGACGGCGTGAGTCTTCTCTTGCTGGCTGCGGCAGCTCTTGGAAACCCTAGGAACCCTAGTGATTTTGGATTTTGTTGGGATTGGATTTGGGCCGGTTGGCCTTTAATTGAGTAGGGCCTGATTTGGGCATGTAAAAGAAAAAAATAACAATAATAGTAATAATAATTAATAATAATAATATTAACGATTTCGGCCGGATAAAACAAGTGTCTACGTCAACGATGAATATGTGTGATTAAATTGAGATTTTCTTTTTGTGAGCATGCTAAATTTGAGACGTCATCGCACACGCATTCCCAATTCAGCATCAAAATGGACATTTCTCCTACATTTGTCTTGACATAGTGAACTTTAAGGAAGAAAACAAAACCATTATGGCTTTGACAGTACGATTAAGACGCTAGAGTCGTGAAAGATAGATGGATAAGAAATTTGCCTTTAAACTTACACCAGTGACCACACAAATATCTGCAAACGGAAAATACCAAGACACCAACCTACAGAAACTATTATAAATAACAAGCAAAACCTCAAGATTATATATATTTTAATTTAGAGCCGTTTCATAATTTATTTTTTATGCAAATATCCTGATATGGTATTGTGAAAAAAAGATAAAACTAAATAGTAATGGAAGCTGTTAAGGGAATAGTGTGTGTGACGGGAGGTACGGGGTTCATAGCTTCAATGCTGATCAAGAGGCTTTTGGAAGAGGGTTACTCTGTTCGTACCACTGTTAGACCTGATCCGGGTAACAAAAGAGACCTTAGTTTCCTCACCAATCTGCCAGGTGCAGCCGAAAAGCTCAAAATCTGCAGTGCAGATCTTAATGATCCCGATAGCTTCGATGCGGCCATTGAGGGGAGCAAAGGAGTGTTCCATGTTGCTACTCCTGTCGATTTCGAGTACAAAGAACCTGAGGAAATCATAACTGAAAGGGCAATCAATGGAACTCTAGGCATCTTGAAAGCATGCTTGAAATCAAAAACGGTGAAGAGAGTTGTCTATACTTCTAGTGTAGCCACCGTCGTACACAACGGTCAGGATTCGGACATGATGGATGAGAATTTTTGGTCTGATGTGGATTTCATTAGAGAAAATGAAACCCCAAGCTTTCGTTCTTACTCGATTTCCAAAACATTGACAGAAAGGGCGGCTCTTGATTTTGGTGCAGAACATGGACTGGATGTGGTGACAGTGATTCCTAGTCTTGTTGTTGGTCCTTTCATATGCCCCAAGTTCCCTGGCTCAGTGCGCTCATCTTTGGCCCTGGTCTTTGGTACATGCTACCTACTTGTTCCACCATTTCTATTTCGGCCTATATTAATATTGGAAATACTATTTCAGGTACCATTTAACTGTCAGTCGGTTCATTTAAATTACTACTGAAATTTTAATTTTGTAAATTATAATATTGAATTTTAGTTTTACATTTAATTATGTCATTCTATAATTAAGTGACTAACAGAATGATGACGTAGCTAACGGTTGCTGACGTGTGGTTTCTTCATCAGAACAATAATGTTTTAGTGCGGCTGTTTGATGCTTAAAACAGACCAAAACGACATCGTTTTTTAAGACAAAAATTTAAATTAAATTGTTCCTAATATGATTTGAACCCAAAAGCCCTTTGAACTCCAATATAAACTCTTAAGTTTAGTGGTATAAACGAGTCAATAAACAAAACTAAGTGGTATATGAAATAGTTTTTTCTATTAACATTTTAATTTGGTTCAAAGTTTTCCGCTACAACAATAACCTGATTTCTTGTTTAATTATCATTTTAAAATTAATTAAGTCCAATGGGTAATCTACATCTATTAGTTTTTGGTTTTCTGCAACACACTGAGACAGTGAAAGTAAATAATTTTACAGGGAACCATTCCGAATATAGTTTTCTTTTGAATACATCATTGGTGCATGTTGATGACGTGACAAGGGCACATATTTTCGTTTTTGAATATCCTGATGCGAAAGGGAGATACAATTGTTCTTCAAACACCGTGAGTCTTCAAAAGTTGTCTAAATTTCTTGGTGGCAGATACCCACAGTTCTCAATTCCGACACTTGAGTAAGTGAACCTCTCTTCCTTTGCATCTTTCCCAGACAATTTCAAACTTTCGTTGTAATATTCATGCAGTAGCATCAAAACAGTTTCCCCTAACTTGTTCTTGCTTTGACAGATCCTTAGCAGAAATCAAAGGTAGAAAAAATCCTGGGGTGTCATCAAAGAAATTATTGGATACAGGTTTTAAATATAATTATGGGGTCGAGGAAATGTATGATGATGCTATCAACCGTTGCAAGGAAAGAGGATATCTCTAGTTGGCCTATATTGACTATTTCTATGGAAAAAAAGAAGCAGGGAAAAAGGGCATGAAAGAAGATGTGATTGGGTTGATTTAGACATGTAAACGAACAGACATGAATATATTTATGTTCGTGTTAGTTCGGTTCGTTTACAGACCTAGATCGATTCAAAGATGAAAAATTAGTTCCTTTGAATCTTCTAAGATTCCAATAGAGTGTGTGTGTGGATGAAGTTTTGTTATAATGTAAATCTAATAAACCAATGTATATTGATGATGTTTTATGGTTCCAATTTCGTTAGGATTCCTTTTTATGTATGATTTTGTTTATATAAAATATTGGTATGCCTGTTGGATTTCCCTTCGCTGTGCAACCAAGATCATATATCTTCTCTACCTTATATTATGTCTCCTTTATTACATTAAGACGTCAAAATAGAACGAATCAAATTTAGATTAAATTTAAACACTTTTAATGTTCATATCAAAGAATATACCAAGACACATGAATCATACTATAAATAATTTAAAAAATCATAGCAATTATAATTTAAACAAGCCAAATATTAAGATTTCGTATCAAATTTTATAGGTATTCATATATATGCATAAGGGTATCAATTGTTGGAAATATTACACTGAATTGACGAATCAAGATATGAGATAAATAGCCAGAGACATTCACAAGACATTATCTTTAAGGATATTTTATTGTATAATGTATCTTCTGCAATTAAACAAACTCTTCTATTAAAAAAATGAGACCCAAGAAACAACAATAGTTTTGAACAATAATACTCAATGTTGTTAATGCTCAGAATTAAAGCATTTTATTGTTATTTAATTTAATTTTAAATAGTAAATTCATATTGTTGAATGGAATGACATTTTTACTATCACTATTTAATCTATTTAAATTTTACTCATCCTATATCATTCTATAAACAAATAACATTTACTTTCGAGATGCTCTTTGAAACTTTTCCTTGAGTGTTATTTTGAGTTGAAAGAAGAACAACATCACTAGAGTTCACTCCATCTTTCGGGTGTACGGAATTTGAAGGGTTGTGCTAATCTGAGAGGGGGGGGGGGGCATTCGTCTATTGTAGTGATTACTCACATCGGGACGAATTCTCTTCTAAGACAATGATTAATACCACGACACGATTATAGTTATATTTGATTATTTTTTTACTTAATATTTTCCAATCAATGTTAATGCCTCGTTTTGCAACTGTTAAACACGATTACGACTATGATTACTACAATTCGAGTAAGAAACTCCGCAGTGCTTGAAATGATTCAATAAGTGCAAAATTAACGTTGTAAATATGAGATAAACAAATAAAGAATGAAATTGAAAAGGATATGGATAGATTTGAAGTGGTTTGCAAATGAAAGAAGTGTGCTGGTGATAATGGTTGAATGGATGTAACGAAAATGGTGAAGGATAGTTGTCGTCGGCGAGAAGGATGATAGAAATTCAAAGGATGGATTGTGACCCTTTAGCTATATATAGATAAGAGCCAACAATATAATATGATGGAATCGAGGTGGAAGAGGATGGAACGTTACCCACCAGCTATAGGTGAGCTAGGAACTAACATTATAATAAAATGAAATTGAGGAAGGCTTCAAGACTAACAAGAAA